TCGTCAGAATTTGCCAGTGAAGCGAGAATCTCTATCACTGACCATGCTTCGAAAAATCTCTTATAATTTTACAACATGCTTGAGAAACAGGCGGGCGACTTCATCCGCTTGGCAGTCTGCCGAAACTGGAATGAAGATGGCATATTTGTTGAACCTGTCAACGACCACCATGATGCATCTGCATCCTTCAGATTTTGGTAGGCCTACAATAAACTCCATTGAGATACTTTACCAGGGCCTCTCGGGCACGGGCAGTGGTTCTAGTAAGCCAGCAGGGGGCTATTGTTCGGCCTTGTCTTGTTTGCAGTCAAGGCATGTCTGTACGTAGGTCTCTATGTCATCCTGTATGCAGGGCCAGTAATAAAGATACTATATAAGTGCTAATGTGCGTGTCATACCTGGGTGGCCAGCCCATTTAGTGTCGTGGCTCTCCTTAATAATTTCCTTCCGCAGATTCTCGAATTTTGGTACAAAAACTCGATTACCAGTAGTTAGGAGGAAGCCATCTTCTACCTAAAACCGCCAAGTCTTTCCTTCGTGCGTGAGCTTCATCAAATTTTTAGCCAAAGAGTCTTGTTGCATCTCGTCCTTGATACGTTTAAATAGATCACTTTGTGGTGCAGTTACGGAAATTGTGGCAAGTTTCGCCCGTCTACTCAATACATCCGCCACAACATTTGTCTTGCCTGGCTTGTTTTGTTGAGTATAATCAAATTCAGCCAGAAAGTCTTGCTACCAGGCTTGTTTAGGACTCAATTTCTTTTGTATTTGGAAGTAGATAGTAGCTACATTGTCGGTCAGGATAGCGAATTTACTGCAAAAGAGGTATTGCCTCCAGGTCCGAAGACAATGGATGATGGCCGTCATTTCTTTCTTTTGGACCATATACCACCGTTTGGTGTTGTTGAGCTTGGGACTTTCATATGCAATGGGGTGTCCGTCTTGCATCAATACTCCCCAAATTGCAAAGTCAGAGGCATTTGTATGTACTTCGAAGGGTCTAGAATAATCCGTAAGGGTCATGACGGACTCATGAGAGATTGCCTTCTTTAGTTCTTCAAAGGCAGTTTGGCATTATGATGTCCATTTCTATGGACGATCCTTCTTAAGAAGATCAGTAAGAGGTGAGGCTATGGCGGAATAACCTTCAATGAACCGTCAGTAATAATTCACCAGCCTCAAGAATGATCTCAAGTCGGGTACTTTAGTGGGAGGCTCCTAATCTAGGATAGCCTTTATCTTTCCCGGGTCCATCATCAGCTTGCCGTCGATCTTGTGGCCAAGAAATTCCACCTCATGCTGGGCAAATGAGCATTTTTCTGATTTGTCTCACCCTTTCCAGAATCGTCCCCCAGCTTCTGGAGATTTCTAGCACGTTCTGGCACGTTTGCACGTTCTCTGGCACGTTCCGCAACCCTCAAGACCTTTCTTGCATGTCCCAGAGAATTCCCGCGGGATCGGGATTTTTCCCGTCGTGGGATTTTTCCCGTGGCTAAGTGGCAGATTTGCGCATGCGCTAGGCGGCTTTTGTGCGAGCACGTTCGGCGCTTGTCTGAGGCTTGGCTGTGCGTTATGCGTGCGGAGCATAACAAACAGGCTTATTCAAGGCTTTTGCCAAGTTCTCATCCAAGAAACTACAAGTTCTTCCATCAGTTAAAATAATGATGGAAGTATGATCAATAAAACCTTTTACCTTCATCATCCTCGCCAACCAACATGCTATGTAAGGAAATTTCAGCTTCGCCCACTCTGTCAATTGCACTACCAGGTTCATTTTCTGTTATTTTATTGTCGGTCACATCCAGTCCGTCAACTTCCAACCAAAAGAGTCGCTTACAGTGGTGCCCGAGATGAACTTTTTCATCACAATTAAGACACAAATTTTGGATCCACCAACATTCACGTTCCTGGATGGATACCATGCGCACTGCTGGAACAACCCCTCTATTTACGGGACTAGCAGTAGCCAACTGCTGGTCAGTCGTAGGAGAACAGCCAGAACTGGATTGAGTGACCATTGGGGCAGCTTTACACATCCATTCTGATTCAACCACATTACGCACTGTCCTCCGCTCATATCACCTTGGCAAATTCATGGTAGTGCTCACATCCTGGGTATTGCAATTCTACCTGCAAGGCTATGTACTCCTTTAAGCCACTAATAAAAATTTTAACATTTATTTTCAGGGTAAATGCACTTGCTTGTGCAGAAAGCAACTCCAATCGACGTTGGTAATCTGCCGCTGGGCCCAAATGTTTCAATTCACACAACTCTTCCAATTTGTTGCTTCTAATCGACTATTCAAATTGGAGATGACAAATATGTTTAAACTTTTTCCAAGTCAAATGTAGCCAATCCTACAATTTTAAGAACCAAAATTATTTCTTCCCATTCCAAGTGAAAAGAGGCTATGACACTTTTCTTCATTAGCTGTGTGCTGGTGCTGGAAGAAGTGTTCACATCATCTGGTCCACGGAAGAGGATTGCTGGACTCATTGAATCATGGAATATCCAATTTCATATACCTTGGCACAAAACTGAAATCTGCAACAGGAGGGAAACTAGCAACTGAGACCCCACTCAGCACATGCAGGGGAGTCTGGCCAGACCCACGGTATGCAACCAGGGAAGGTTGGCACCCGAGAAAGGCCTTGGGGAGTGCGCATGTCTGGCGTCCAGGGAAGCATGCGTGTTTGGCCTTCCAGACCCGCTGGTCCTGGTTGTGCTCAGAGGTGTGGCTGCATCCAGTTTTTCTTCCCCTTCACTAGCTGGTTCATCTAGTATCTCCATCTCTAAAATGCTGAAAGGGCTTTGTCTGACTATAGCCTTCTTCAACATCTTTCTGGATTGTTCTGGCCAACAATTCTTCCGACTATCCAACCAAAAATTCAAACTTTAATTTCTCGTGCTTTTTATTCTCTTCATTCGTTTGCAGGAATGTTTCAAACATAAATTGTAGATCACCCATGACAATTGGCTCTAATATCAATTTGTTACAGTCTCCTACTTACGGATTGCGTTATAGGATGATTGACAGTGAAATCGGTTGGTAGATTAACATTTTTCTTTGATTTTCTACCTCTACCTATCTTAGAAATTAAAGAAATAATTAAGGCTCGTGAAATAGAGAGGCCCTATGATCTCTAGAGTAGAAAAGTATTTTTCATTCCAAAATGAATCCAGACATTATATTTTGTTTTCCCCACAGCAGAGGATATATACAAAAAGGATAATTAATTCTAATTTTTTTAATTTCTAGAATTACCTATACCACCTTTGTCTTATGAGAAACTTATTTCCCTCCCTAATGCATACTTAACATTTAACTAAATACACTTACATAAAAGTCACATAATAACACTTTAACTAGCACATATGGGTAAGCAATTACACAAGATTATTCTTTTCTATTCCTTCTTTGATAAAAGTTTAGGGTGAGGAATTATTTTGCCCCTGACAAATGCCTTCCTGCATGGGGAATTGGAAGAAGAAATTTATTTGAAAATGCCCCCAAGATTACTAAAAGAGTAAAAATGAACAGAGTGTACAAATTGAAAAAGGCATTGTCTGGGTCATCCATGTGGTATAGGCAGAGTCAGGGAGACAACATCCTGTTCATTAAGCATTCAAAGTCAACTGGAGTCACTATCCTCCTCGTATATGTAAGTGACATTATTGTTATTGTGAATGGCGAATATGAAAAAATCGCTCTCAAGTTAATATATTTGTCACATAGAATGACAGACATTGCACATACAGTGAATGTAGTGAATCAGTTCATGCACAAGTGAAGTGCATTTGCAAGCTGCCTATATGATACTCCGTTATTTGAAGGGTACTCCAAGAAAGATAATCATTTTCAAGAGAAATAATAGGCTACTCCTTGTAGCATATATGGATGCTGACTATGAAGATTCATTAGTCAACAAAAAGTCTACATGAGGATCTTGTACCTTTGTTGGAGGAAATTTAGTGACTTAGAGAAGTAATAAACAAAACGTCGTATCTCAATCCATTATTGAATCAGAGTTTTGGGTTATGGTTGAAGGGGTGTGTTAGCTCCTATGGTTGAAAGTAATTTTTGAAGACTTGATTTAGTGAAATGGACCTATGAGACTCTATTGCAATAATATATCAGCAATTAGTATTATCCACGACTATGTAAAATAATATGACAAAATATATTGAAGTTGATCGACACTTATCAAAGAGAAGCTAGATAGAGATTAATATGCACACCGTACATGGCTACTACTTTACAACTTGGAAATGTACTGACCAAGGGGTTGAGTAATCCTATGTTCCAGACTATTATTGGCAAGTTGAGGATAGATAATATCTACCAACTTGAGGGAAAGTGTCGGGTTTCCTTGTATAATTGTTGGGGACTTTAGTATATAAAGTTTTTGATGCTCGATAAAATTCACAACTCATTCTTCCACAATTTTATTGTTGAATAGTTGTGTCCTATATAAATGCAATTTTAAGTATGCAAAGGAAACTCTAAAACTTAATTAAGTAGGTATATTTTACTACTAACCTTCACATATTAACTTACATATAGACTCTTTTTAACACATGCAACAAGACATATTAGAATATATGATAAAGTCGGGGCCTTTTTATCAATTTAAGCTTTTGGAGCAACTAATTAATCCACTTATTATTCGACGGTAAATTTTTTTTTAATGGGAGTTTTCAGTACCATCATTGTTAGTTGCAAAAGATATAATTGTGAGTTCTTTTTCAACTTCTAATCTAAGAGTCTTCAATCACCATCTTTACATCATCATATATATGATAACCTCTACTTCTATATCATCAAGCGTCCAACATGCAGAACAAATATCGAATACATATCCAATATCCAACCACCAATGTTGTGTCTTGTACAACAAAGGTCTGGTGCTAACATGAAAGTGTCTAAGCAACAATATACACATATATGCATACATACACGAGCTGATGCAAATTTTCTTTCATATTTTTGCATTTGAAGCCAATGGCGTTGGAGCAAGTAATATCAGATCGGGACAGTGAAGATGAAGTTGATGATGACATTGCAGATCTTGAAGATCGCAGGGTATGTTTGATAATTCTGCCAATTTAAATTGCTGTTCAGACAATAAAGCTTGCTATTTTTTGAGCCTCTGATATTCAAAAGAACTTGATCAGAAGTTCATATAATTGGTAGATGCGTAAGATTTTTATTCTCAAAAATTTCTCAGTGGCTTCTTTGTATACTGTCCTAAAGATAAAAACTTGAAGTGGTCAGATGTATATATGACTCTATATGTAGGATGACAAAGCTTATGCAACTGGTTTTTCTAAAAAATTGGAGCTAAGTTGATAATTTGGAATAATTATAGCCATAGAAATTTTTGGTTAATCATTTTTGTAGAAAGGGAATTATATTAGGAAAAGAAAAAGGAGATACGACCTAAAGGAAGCTAAGCTATCCTCCATAAAAAAAAAGGAGAGAAAAGAACAGACGAGAACAAAGAAAACCAGAGAATCAATACAAAATAGTAACTCAGTCCCTCTCAAAGTAGAAATAAAAATTCCCATAACGGATCCGTGTGCTTTAGCCCCAGGAGAAACTAAGCTTAAGAACCAGTCCTGCATATTGATAATAGAATAGAAATTATCATTTCAATTCTAGCATTTCTCTCCAACTGAGGACCCAAAGACCTACAGAGATAGTCCCTCCCTAAAGTGTGGAATGCTCTTTACTCCTCCCAAAATCACGGAGAGGTAAAAGTGGAAATCTCCAAGTTTAGGGGCAAAGCCCAATCCAATTTGAAGTGAGAAAAAATGAAATATTTGAAGATGTTTGAGTGGTTAACTAGCCTGTTGATAGGGCTGTATCTCTGCAATAGGATTTTGGAATAATTATTATCAACATTGTCACAACAATAATGCAGGGACAAAATTCTGCAAAAAAATTTATTTAAGAAGAAATTGTTAATTAAATATTTGAAGTCACAACTGATGGTAGCAAGATATGAACTGTATGATTTATCGGTGGATTTGTTTGAGTCCGCAAAGTGAAAAAAATAATTATTTAGTTTGTCTAACTGCAGCGAGTTCGTGAAGTTGAACATGATTCAATCTATAAGACAAAGTGGCAACTACGCTCGTACAATCAGGAATAGTGAAGCGTAGCGGTCATATCAACCTCCTAGTAATTAAGATTCATAAGTAAAGACATGTTCCAAGAAAATGAATCATCATATTGCTCTGCACAAGAAGAAAAGGTGAGATGAGGAATCATAAAGGCAAAGTATTTTTTCAAGCACTCCTGTTTGTCCTTAAAACAATAACTTCAGAATCTCATCCATTTTTATGCTACCCAAAAGTCATTAGGCATAAGAGGCTGATTCAAAAACAAAAATTACCAATATCAAGATCACCATTAGACTTCAGTAACCAACAACTTTTGGAGGAATCACCCACTCCATACTAAAGAAAGTTCCTCATAACTCTCTCATTTCTCTTTGCAACACCTCTAATTATGTTAAGGAGAGAAAGATAGTAGAGCACAATTCTAGACGAGCAAGACTAAATGAGAGTACGGGATCACCCATGGAAAAAGAGCATCCTTCCAGCAATCCAAGCAAGGAGTCTTTAATCAGAATTGTCCTGGGAAGAGAGAGCTCTGGAATTACCTTCAAGAAACACCAAGATAAAGGAAAAGGCCACCTTGAGACATTACAGACAACTAAGTCAACTAGATCTTTCAAGTTCTACACAGCAACATCAAGACCTACTGTATCTCTTTGCTTTCAAGTTAATTTTCAGACCTGACTTTCTCAAAGCATGTAAAATGGTAAGGGCATTATAAAACTTCATATGATCATATAAGGAGGAAGAGAATAGTATCACCCACAAACTAGAGATCAGAAACTTCCACCACAAACTAGAGATCAGAAACTTCCACCACCTGATAATGATATAACCTAATATATCAGAATTCCCACGCTTAACTTCAGAGTCAGGGCCATTACCTTAAAAGTAGTTATCCATGAAAAATGGTGCAGAATAGTAACATTCCTAAGTACCACTACTAGGATTTTGTGTTTAGAAGACAGAGATTGGGTAATCTCCTTAGTTCCTTTATGAGTACATATTTCATTGATCTGGCAATTGCTGCTAAATGATCAAAGCAGTATTATGTGGGACTATTATCATGATGAGTGAGTCAACTTGTTTCAAATGATTGTATTTGGTCTTGAGATCTACTTGAGTCAATTACTTATGTTGTTATAATCTGTCATCAAGATTCAAAATGGTAATCAGCTCCATACTTACACTTCATATTGGCATTCTTCTGCTTCAACTTTCTGTTCATTGTTACAAGATGGTTTCTTTTGGCGTTTAATTTTGCTTGGTTAGTTTCATAGAAAGGATCAAACTTTTGAGTTTTACTTTACTTTATGTATGAAAAGATCTGATAATTTTCTTTTCAGCTCAACAAATACAAATTTCAGCCAGAATGAACCTTTTTCACATTTTTTTTTTGATCTTGGACAGTAACATTGAACTAGTATGTTGCAGATGCTTGATGATTTTGTGGATGTTAGCAAAGACGAAAAACAGCTTATGCATCTCTGGAATTCATTTGTAAGAAAGCAAAGGTAGTGGACCTCTCGTTAAAGCCTCTTATACCTTTCTTTCACCTTATTTTCCATTTGATTTTGCATATCAAGTTAATGCTTCCGCAAGTGAAGTGTCTCACAAAGTTTTGGTTCTTTATTCGGTCATTATGAGAAGGCATTAATTTCAATGCAGGGTTCTGGCAGATGGACATGTTCCATGGGCATGCGAGGCATTTTCGAAACTTCATGGAAAGGAGTTGGTTCTATCTCCTGCTCTCTTTTGGTAGTGTCCCGGAAATCTTTTTGCTTTCACTTTTGCCACTGTTTACATATCATCTGTTTCTTCCTTGGTCCACGTGAAACTCAAATTGACACCCACAGTTCTGAGGCCAACAACATGATGATTTAGTTGAACATATTATAGCTGCAACTAACTAACTTGCATCTGATGTATTACGTAGAAATCTTTTCTCAAACAAGCGAGTAGGAAAATGTGTCACCCATAATCTAGACCTTGTTACTTATGCCTACATAGATCACATTATTAGTTATTCACTTGAGTAGAATCAGATGTTCATGCTATAGCATGACAAATGTTTTGGCCATCAGATTAATTATCTTCTTGAATTCATGAAATTAAATAACTCACGAACCTGTATTTAACTGTTACCTTTCTTTGAATGCACTAGTGTTATCAGCTACACTTTCTTCTCCATTACCATATGTTTTCTTTTTTTCTTTTTTCTTTGAGCAGCTCATGATACAATGTTCAATTATAAATTACCAGTCCTATAAATGTGGGGGGGAATTTATTTTTGTTGAGGAATGTATTAGGGGTAATAATATAAGAAAATTAAGTTAAAGGACATGGTGGTAAAATACGTCCTATGTAGTTAAATGATAGTTTCCTTTCTTATTAAGGAAAACTTGTGTATGTAGAGTTTTGATAGTTAATAAAATATACAATCAATTACCTTTGACATGGTATAAGAATTAGAGGAAAATACATTTCCTTCTTTATAAACCCTAATCGGCCTTCACTGCTGAAATATTAAAAGAAATAAATAAATAAAGGGATCTGCCAGCAACCACAACCTCAGCTGCTGGCCACGACAGACCTGCCACCAACGATCAAGACCAGCCTTCATCGTCAGCTTAAGATCACCCAACTGCACCTACAGCTATGCACACAAAACCTTCAACTACGCCAACAACAATCCCAGCCACTACTCTCTACACCTGCACACCCACCCAGTTGTGTGCCTGCCCACTTGCCGCAGGCCTGCAGTCACGCACCCAACAGCAGCGTTGCCTCTATTTTTCTCCATCAATCAGCAGCTTTAACCTGCCATTGTTGTCACCTTATTGTTTCTATAGGCCTTAGTTGCCCCAAAATTTTAGGCCATGTCGGAGGTTTCATCTCAAGTCACACACCCTAAGATAGCAAATACACAACAACACAACGGAAAATTCCAACCAATTCAAGTTAGCTTATTGCATGAATGGAAAAAAGTATTTGAATGTCATAATTAATCAGAATGATCCTCAAGGGAAAAGGGAGACTCAGGCACATTCTGGTCATCGAATCTCAACCGGGAGACCCTCGATTTAATGCATGGAATAAAGTAGACTCCATAAAAATGGAAATAAACAACACCTGTATGTTTCTTCCCATTACTAAAGAGGTATGGGAAGCAGTTCAAGAAACCTATTTCAGGGTGAAGGATGCTGCTCAGATATATAATCTCAAGATCAAGACATGGTCCATAATACAGGCAAACATGTAAGTGACTGAGTATTCTAACCAATTGAAAAATTGGTAGCAGGAATTCGACCAATACTGCTACCTTACTATGGAGTGCAGTAAAGACATAGCCCGCCTGAAATAATTTGTAGAAAAGGATCATGCCTACCAATTCTTGGACCAGATCTGGATGTGATCAAGTCAACGTCCAAATTTTGGTAAAGAAGATCTATCATCTCTAAATGAGGTAATCTCTATTGTAGTTGCAGAGGAAAGCAGGAGAAGGGTCATACTAGAACCCCGCTCCAATATAGCTCAGCCCTGAACTCCAAGAGTTCCAAGCAACACCAACGAGCAAAAGAGCTAAGTCCTACTGAAACCTCAGCTTCTAGCAGAGAAAATAAGGACAATCTGTAGTATATTTTTCTTTTTGCAAAAAGTCTAGACACACTTTGGAAAAATGTTGGAAGCTTTACGAGAAACCCATTACATCAAGCTGGGAATAGAAATACAAGAACACTTCACAAAAATCTTACAAGCAAGCTCATGTTATCAGTCAACAGGAGGAGAAATCCATTTTATATTAGCGAATTCAAAGCTGAAACTGAACAGTTAAGAAGCAGATTGGAGGATCTTGAAAAACCTACAGGTATAGGCTTGTTGGCACACTCAGATATGCTTTTTTCTTATATGGTTCTAAGTATCTCAAATACACCTTTTGAACAGTTATGGATTACAGACTCAATTGCCACTAACTATGTAACTAACTCTTCAAAGTACTCTCACACATGTTTCTTGTCCAATTAGTAGAAAAATTATTGCTAATGAGTTTCTAAACACTATTACAGGAAAGAGAATGGTGGGAAAATGCACCTTATGGAATTAAATGATAGTTTCATTTTTTATTTTAAAAAACTTGTATATATAGGATCATGATACTCAATAAAATGCACACTCGATTATTCTTGACAATTCTCAACTACAGTTGGTGGTATTCTGACTTTTCTTCTGGAAGTTTAAAGCTTTACATTTTGTTGCTCTCATGATATAGATATATGTACTTAAAATCTCAAGCACTGATGGACTCAGGTGTTGGAGACTGTTTATGATCAAACTTTGGAATCATGGGCTTCTCGATGCTGGCACAATTGACAACTGTAATACAATTCTTGAAAGGGTCAGATGCGAAGGAAGAGAAGCTGCCAAAGGTTATAGGTGACAATATATACTTGGTTTCCAAGAGCAAGCATTGATAAATTGTGCATGTATTTGATTGATTATATCGTATTTTCTATTTCATTTTTTTAAGCATATTCTTGTTGCCCGGATCGAATGGAGCTAACATTTTTCTTATTATTGTAATCTCAAAGAAAAGATCATTCTCGTGGTGTAGTCTCATTCAATTAAGGCATTCCTCTATCTAAATTCTAAATTCTTTCAGAAAATATTTTCTGATCAGTGTTATTGGCCTTCGGCTTTCTTTACGTACACTTTCATGGGTGGGAGTGTTTCTTTGGAACTGGTTGACCTGGACCAACACAAATGAGTAAACTACTGTAATACCAAGGTTGGAAATCCTTATAATGCATTATACATAACTGGAAAGACACCAATGTGGGAGGCTTATAACATGTAAATATAGGTAGAATGTTTAGATTATTTTGAAATAGTTTAGATGGGGAAGAATAATATAGGAAATTTTTATTATTATTGCTTGGTAGTTCCTGTTTTAACTTTTTTGTTGCGTGGTTGGTACAAGTACCTCCAGAATTTATAATGCTACGATTGCCATTCACATTATGTTTTAAATAAATGAAGTTAAGAAAACTGCAGGATTTATTTGTTAAATGTCTGTTTCCAGGAAGCTGATAAAAATATAAATTTATAAATAAGTTCTAAATTACTAGTTAGAAATTCATTTATTTAAAATTTAAGATTAAAAAATTTTGTAATTTGATATAAGGTAAATTATTGTTTGAACTTCTATACTCTTTTTTTTTTATCAGAATCCAATATTTTTTAGCTTTTTATGACAGTTCAATACCGTGTAATTTTATATTTTTTAATTTTAAATTAGAACTTTTAGCATAATCTTATAATTTTTTAGATTTTTAAAAAAATTTGATTTGTTTAATCTTGAATTTTTTAAGTATGTATTAATTCTTAGATGTTCAAATACATGCAGATGTTTCTCGAAAATTAGCAATTTTTTCACAAAATGATAAAAAAATAAGCCACATATTGATGAAAGAATTATAAGATTCAAATTGCAATAAAGCCAAACTGTAAAGAATAAAATTGTCTTATTGGCATATCAATGGTGCTTTTAAAAGCTCATTATTTGAATTTAAAGAGTTACTGAATCAATAATTCTTGCGTGTAAAATACTGCTCACTCTTTGTATGTGCAGTAAAATGTAAAGGGAAGAGAGAATTTTGATATAATTGACGACTTCATCTTCTTGTCCCAATTGGAATTCTTAAATGTGGTGCTTTCATAGGTTAAGAGACTTGAAAAGAGCTTGTAGTCATTTTTTAAAAAGAGGAACATGAAACGAGGAGCAGAAAGGGCTTAGAGAAAGAGAAAAAGAATTGAAGTTGGAAATGGCTGAAATATGGAGGAAAAAGTCTCAAGAATAGCTGAAGTATCTGGTTATGGAGGAAAGAGGGGACAAGATGTAGTCAAGAGTGTTTGCTGCTTAAAATGAAAGAGGGATTGGGGAAAGCTAAGAGGGTGAGAGATGGAGAATACAAAAAGAAAATCGTAAGACTCACTTACATGGTATATATTCCGGGTTACGTACGTATCCAAAAGTCGGAATTATTTTTCAAAGATGAAACTTAATACCAACGTGGGCATGAGACAGATAAGGGGGTGCTCGGTTGTAACTTTTGGTTACAGTTTATGCAGTGTTGAAGTACTTTATAACCAAATGAAAAAATCTTAAAGTTTTTTTCAACAAAGTTAAAGTTACAATCTGTTTTTGCCTAAAAATATGTAAGAGAAATTATTTTGCTTTTCTCAAAAACAACTAAATCATCCATCATAACCAACTGCCATGAAGAGAGAAATTAAGAAGAAAATCCCTGAATCACATAAAAGGAACTGCCAATTGTTCATCCAGTTTAAAATGTAGGAAACAATCCCAGCAATAAAATCCTTTAAGAAACCAAAACATAAGAACATGCAAACAAGGAATGTTCAATAGTCTGCAAAAACTAATTAATAAAAAGAGTCCAGAGCACTAATGGAATCTCCATGCTTCTTCATATCTAATCATTCTCTTCTGGAGGAGGCTCAAGATTCAAGTCAAAGAGGACAGGTCTTGCAAGATTCTGAGTGACTTCAACTTCCTCCATTTTTTCACCTACCAAATGAAAATTTTAAGAAGATAGCCTTAGGAAAGATGAAGTTGACTGAGAAAACAATCTTAATGGAAAGAGTTTTTTGAGGGGAAAAAAAAAACCTCCAGTATTTTCAGCAATAGGTTCTGCCTCCTGATTCCGCAAGGTTTTCTGCAGTCTCACGGTCCCAGGAAACATCAGGATGTTCATGTCCAGCAGTTTTTTATTAAGCTCATCATCAACATTTGAGAACTGATATTTCACGGTCCACATTTCAACCATATCAAGAACTGATGGAATTATTAGCTTTTTAACTTTCACGTAGCAAAGAATCTGTCCACCGGTGAAAGTTGAGAGAATTTCTTTATTTAAATTTATTTAAATAATAAACTTTTCCAGAGTAATAAAATATTCAATTATGATATAAAATCATCATGTTCAATAAATTTTTATGTAAAATAACCTATCAATTTACAAATGGAGTTTTATGAACTTACATTTTCAATAGCATTTTGAAGCTTCTTTGCCATCCCTTGCATCCTATAAATTTCACGAGTTGCCATGAATGGCATTTCTGCTATATTTCTCTCATGAACCCTACAAATCCATTAATAAGGAAAGTGAAATAAGCTACATAAATTATTTCCAATAAATATGTAAAAGTAACACTGAGACAAGTGCAAATTATGTAAGTTTAATATTCAAACAAGTGATGTAGAAACCTGATGGATGCAGCACAAATTATCTCTTCATCTTTCTCCAGAATTACTGTATAAAATCCACCAAAATTCAGCCTGGGCAAATTGGAACTGAGAAAAATATAAAGTACGAAAGAATCAAATTACTGGATCATAGAGATCAAAGTCTAATAATAAGAATGATATATATTGAAAAGCTAGCAAACTTAATAGAAGAACGTACTATGTTTCACACTTCTAACAACTGGAGACTCAACAATTAATTGGATCATATAGAAGAGAAAATATGGAGGATGAAAATAGATGATGTAAAAGAGTTTGTACCTACGATGATAAACAACACTCTGAACTATATTAGTTCTAGTATGGCGATCGATGTAGGTCATGAAGCATTCATCCATCACTCTAGAAGCTACTGCCAGTTTAGAGTTGCATTCAACTCTTTGGTATCCATGGGGATCATCAAGCTTTGTTTCCATCCAGCGAAGTAGAGACAAAGAAAAGCCATCACCTAGCTCATCTTTTTTTCCAACTAGAACTTGCAAGTCCGTAAAAATCTTCATAGCATTCAAAAAACTCAGATTATCCAGTCAATCATTCAAAAAGATGTTCACAACATCCAGGTTGTGAGTTGAATTATCAAGTAAATCATTCAGAAAATTTAAAAGGGTAGCCAGGGGTCTCAATGTAATCAATCTGCTAAACCTATCAAGTTTGTCATAGTTACTGCTTTTAATTGAGTCCTTTGCTGCAACCTCATCAATTGAGTGCATTTCTCTTTTCAAAAGGTTGGAAAGCACAGACTATTAGTCCACTTTGCGGAGAATGAGGCCATTTTTCCGAATTAAGCTACCCTTCCAGCTTTTTGAGTCTAAAAAAAGTTATGCATACATGAAGTGGATAGTAAATTAGTATAAATGTATGGAAGAAAGAATTGAGTTTTACCCTTTTGCAGGCATTGCCACAAAATTGAAATCCTAGATGCTTGCGATTGAAGTCTGACATTTCACAGCAACATGCCAAATGAACTAAATATATAACAAGCAAAGATTAGATTATAATGGTTCTAATTTTCTTCTTCTTCATTCAACAATAGATTCAATTCTAAACGTAAGAAACCTGAAGGAGAAAAGATACATACATTTCTTCTGACACTGAATACATATTTCTAAACCACCATCACTACCACCACAAGATTTGCACACACAGTAAGGACAATTCCAATCTCCTTGAGGAAGCTTCTGTGCTAAAAAATTCTTAATTATATATAGCAACATTCTAAAAATAAAATTAACCAAGCAAGGAAAGAGAAAATAGAAGTAAGAAAACTTCTCACCTCCATTTTTAGGCAACTGGGATGAACTGTTGAAGGACACTTGCCACAGCAGAGTAAAGATCCTCCATCAGCACATATGAAACAGACATCATCATGTGTGTCTGAGGCATGCGGTTGAGGCCCAACATAGTTGAATTCGCGAGGAATCAACTCTTTGTCTTTATTCCAGGCTTGGCTCTGTAAATACTGGAGGGAAAAACCTGTTCCTGATAAGTAAACGTTACCATAAGGCATCCTGCTCTCACCTCCTGCATGAACTTCAAACTTCCACACTGGAACAACCTCACTGCAGCAACTACAAATTATACCTTGCCTCTTTATCTTACCCTCAATGCCTTCCTGATCAGGAATTCCAC